AGGTGTTAAAGAGGACATCAACATGTTTTTTTGCTTCAAAACCAACTGGTTTCTTTAATCATGGCATTAACAACCTGACTAAAATGGAAAAGTATCATCGATAAGAATGGAGACTATTTCATTTAATAAATGTTTTGTTTTGATATACAAGTTGTTTGGGTTTTTAATCTAAAAAAAGCGACATTAATTTCTCCTAATATTAACAGTTTTAATCCACCCTTTATTCTCCCGAAGAAGAATAGTCAACTATTCGAAAGCGCTCGAGTTTTGGGTCTTGTTTTGAAAATATTAGTTTAATTCATTAATTTTGTTAGGTGGAATTTCTCTTAAATGAAACATCTCCACTACGAACGATCGAAAATATACATATGAAGACCAGAAACTAGGGATTAATTACCTTCTCGACAATATAATTAGTGTAAATTGAAGTGCAAACATTTGCTACGTCGTTTGTGGCATCATATTATTTGAAGATATTAAACTCTGACCCCGGGGAGTTCACTGGCTTTAACTTCGTATCACAAGCTGCCCCTGACCATTGCAGTTCGACACGACAGTAGCATCTGCTATGAACTTTACGACAGCTCACAGCGGAACAATCAACACTGCAAGTAGTAAACCATTTATATTTAATTTGTACACGAATGGTATCACAGCACCTTATGCTGAAGACTGAAGGCTCCTACTTGAGAACACCTTTATGTATCTATTGGTAGAATAATTCAACGCCAGACAAGCCACTTGGGATACTGGTGAAAACACTATTGGCAAAGGTTTACATTCCATTCCTCAGTATAGCTATCCAACCTTATATTGCTAAACCCAAGCAAGCCAACAAGAATCGATGACAGCCAAGATGATAAAGACTCCCATACAGATTTTGTTTTATTTCCACCTTCGGTGTCATCTTTACCTGGCATAGAGAACATCATGTCTTCAATGATCACCCCATGTGTGAGATTCGCATGAAGACAACAAGAAAAAGTGGTGTAAAACAATCAAGAAACCCATACAAAGGTTTCAAGTTTTCCGACATTGCTCAGACCAAGCATCTCGTCAGTATAAATCATGGTGAAATCAATTTCTTGAAAAGGAACACACCTTACTGTTGGAATAGTGATTCTTGTAAAGCTTGTAAAGCACACAATGATTCCCAGGCTGAGTTCCATGAAAAAAGGCATGACCCGACCCAGAGAAAGGAGGCAAGAATTGCACAGAATAGAACCCGTGTTCTCTAAAAACGACCAGCTTCCAAAACACGAATCATGAAACGGAATGATCCATGCAGCAAGGCCAATCTCGCAAGCACTCCACTCTGACACTTCCACAAGATTACAGCTCACAAATGAACCAAAAGAATGAAACTGTCATTTGTGATGATTATGGTCCATACAGATAAAGACCAAGGCAGGGTCTTCATGCTCAGATGCATTAAGCAACGTGGCGTCAAGGAGAGGCTCAAGCTTCAGCAATCCCCATTTGAGTTACAACTACCTGCAGATATAGAAGCCATCGTTAGCGTGGACGGAATACACGAAGCCATGAACACATCTAAAGATGGAGCTCAAGGTCACGATGGTGTAAGAATCTCCATCCTTAAGGAGCTTACAGAAGCAAACTTATTGAAATTGGTGTTGGAGTATCAATGTAGCTGGGCAATGGGTAATATTTCTAAAAACATGGTCCGATGCCTTTACCAAATCCTTACCGAAGCCCATGAAAACCCTTTACCAAATCCGGCACAACTCTACATACAGGATATCACCCTCCTCTGTATTAGTTAAAAGCGGTAGGAATGAAAAGTCTTCATCGACATTCAAAGGGAATTAAACTGCTTGAAAACAAAGAACCATATGGTGTATATGGGAAAGCAAACGATGGAGAATCAACAAGGTAATACACAGTCAGATGGCCACTAATTACCTCCTGCGAGGCAGTCAGTCTCCACATGAGAGGTCAGCGCATGGGGACGCAGCCCCTGGGATTGTTACCTAGTACTCAACTCACCTTACATCTAGAAGAGTTTACCCAAAGTAAACAAGATTACAAAACTGCAAACATGAACTAAACAAGGCGTAATTATTTGTTCATGATTATTTTACAATAAATACGTTATCATAATTTTCGGAAAAAAATAGATGGTTTAACTAGTATGTTAAATTGTGGAAATTAAAACTATATTAAAGTGATAAAAATAGCTATTAATTATAAATGACAATTCAAACAGCAGGTGGCGATGTTGTTCATTATTTGTACTTGGCCGTTTTTGGCCTAAGATATTCTTCAAAGTTATATTAAGTGAATGTTAAAAGTAAATGTTATACATAATAACAATAATACACTCATTAAATAAAATTCTGAGACATTCTTCCACGTATATACTGATTTGTGTATTACTTCAGGTTTTTGGTTCCTAAGTAACGAGTCTGAAATGGCATTTACTAGAACAATCACAAAAACTGACGCACGTATAAA